AATCGCTTCTAGGTTGAAGGCCATCGCTATTGGGTTGGAGGCCATCGATTCTCGGTGAGAATCCGTGACTTGGCCGTTTTATGAAGACATGGTTTGCTCCTTCGAGGCTGGAGGGCTGGTCAGCTCCACCTCTCAACTCCGGAATTGCCGAGGTGGGGGGACAAATTCTTCGTTCTGTGTCGACCGCGATCCTGGAAGCTGGACGGACCGTAGAGCCAGGACGGAAGAAGTTTCCTCTCTGGAAAATCATATTTTTCTCTGACATGAGAGATGATGGGACTCTTCCAAAAGAGAAGCATGAGAGGAGTTGTTCGTGAGTTTGGACTCAGCAGATCTCAAACAAACCAATCTCATCAAAAAGACGTTTTCCCTCGGTTTCCCAGGTCTTGGCCTCCAGCTGTCGGGAAGTGCCTGCAGCCTTGCCCTCCGAACTGCGCTGCCCCGAGGTCGGCGGTTCGGGTGGCGGTTCGCGTCCGCCGGAGTCGGGCGATGAAACAGACGACCCTGGAGATGACCGACAGTCCTTGACACAAGAAAGGGTCTTCTAGGACAGTGATTCAGCCTACATTCAGGTTTTCGACAGGTGGGTTCCGGAAGCTTTTTGCGGTTAGCAGACTCCCTGTTTGCGTTTGGAAGCTTCCAACCTTGCAGTTTCCAAGCATGGAGATCGTTTCTCGGGTATTCCACAAATTCATCGACGTCAAGATTCCCTAATATAGAATGGGAACCACAGAACCACAAACATGTCTACAGAACGGTTTTTGACCATACCCTCACCAATGATTTTCTAAGGACTCGCACCCTTACGTCCATGCATTTTGTGGTAAGAGAGGTTAGGGCCCGGCGAGTTATACAATGGTTGGACCCGACCACCCGCGCCATTGTCTTCTCAACGATGCATATTGCAGACAATTGCAGATCTTGTTTCTCGACGTGTCTCGATCCAGAAATGTGTAAACCAGGTTAATATATCTCTTACCAAGCGAATTGCAGTGTTGTCCCAGCCAGGCTGCCATTCTTCGCCTTGCACCTGGTTCAAAGCTAAGACAGTGTAGGTGCGATGGTGAAGGGACTGGGGACTCGGAAGACATGGACTGCTTGAGATAACTGGGAGGTAGGTTTGTTATTTTAGTGTATGAGTCTCCTGGGATTTGGTGGACCAATGTGGACCACATGGCTTACTCTTTGAAGAATCAAGCCACTCCCTTCCCCAAGCGTGGCATGGATTTAACAAAAAACTTGCCAAGACGTGGCTACTTCAACTATCTTGAACTAATGCAACCCTGAACGACACATGCGTGTAGAAACTCCACTTTCTCAAATGATTGCAGTCCCAGACTTGGCTTGTGCCTTCGGGCCTTGCGCGTTGAAGGTCTACCAGTTGCTGCTGGAGATGGGTGGCCAGCAAGCTGTTGGACGAGCCGGAAGCCGAAGATTCGGATGGGATACTGAGAATTTTTGTTTCGATGCCATTCTTCGAATGCTGTTGATATGAGACTGTGGGTATTGTCACGCGTCATTCTTTATACGCTTCAAGCTTTGGGCTCACGATTCTCACTTCGTCAAGTCTGGCACTCCAGCTGTGAGTCAGAACTTAGTCAGAACCACATGTTCATCTCAAAGTCTGTCCTGGTGTCATGATTCAAACACAGAACAAGCTGGATGAAAAATATCCTTTCTTGCAAGTGAGGTATCTAACCAAGTATGGTTTTCCACTAGCCACACGTTGCGAGGTGTTTGTCCGCCAGTGGTCGTGAGACAGAGATGCGGAGAGTCTTGGAAGAGGCCATGACATTGTGCGTGTTCAAAGCGAACCATGACTGAGTCTTGCATGTTTAAAGCTAAGTTTCCCGAAACATCTAGGAACCAAATGAATAGAAGCATGAGCTATCCTGCGTCCTACCTAGGACCGCGTCTTTTACCAAATACAGCCGCCTATACTATACCTCGACCTCTCAGCGGCCTACCCCACCCGCGCAAATATTTACTTGCAGTTACAGTAATTCAAAAGAACTGTTTAGACATAACAAAAAGGCACAGCGTTTCCGCCAGGAATTGGGAGATTCAATCCTTGAAGAGTACATAACCTTGGAGAGCGAGCACGAGGCGTTTGGTTTGGCAGTTGGCAGTTATTCCTCGATTCTTGAAAACCGCTTTGTTTTGCCGAAACACCTTGCGTTTCCCTTGATGACTTCCTTTTGGAAACCAACAGTCAGGCTTTTTTTACCGGGTTCAGTTTCATGCAACCCAAGCATGTGGCATTGACTTTGCTTCTTGGGTGAAATACAAGACCCAGCAAAAAGGAACTCTACTAGAAGGACTGCGAGTTGCAAAGGGCACCAGCAGCGCTTCCCCTCCCTGCGGCTGCCTGATGAGGCCTTGCAAGGCCGTTTGCAAGAAGAACGCCAAGAGCTCGGCGTGGAGCGTGCGCTCCGCAGTGGCCTGGAGGAGAGGTTCCACCGGGTGAGCATAGCTGAGCGGTTAAGAACCTACCCGAAAGAAAGGTCTTGCAATTCTAGACGACTAGGAGGCGTTCTGATTCTATTCATGAGTGCTACCAAGAGATATAAAAGTAAGCTTTTTCAGACATTGCATGGTGCATGTTTGAACAATAGAATTGCATATATTATATATACACACATTAGTTTCTTTTGATATGACAATATATAGTAATGTTTGTATGTCTTTTCTTTTTCTTCATCATTTTTGATGTTCCACATGACTTCATTCTCCTTTCACCATGCGCGTCCAAGGAGCAGCTGGCGGAACTCAGAGCAGAGTTGAAGGAGGCCGGATGCGGATGGTCCACGGGTGGTCCACGGATGGCCGGGTTGCACCGATGCCCAGTTCAACTTCTACTAGGGGCTCCTGGCCTTACTACTAGGAGCAAGGACGCTACTAGGGGCTCCTGGCCATACTACTAGGAACAAGGAACTTCTACTTCCCTTCTCAAAGACCCTGTGAGTAACCGAATAACCTGCGACGTTCGGAGGCCAATCAGCGTGCCGGCAAGATGGATGCGGCTGCACGACTTGCCATTGCGGGAAAGCAGCGTGAAGAGGAGATCCAAAGTGCAAGAAGCGATGAAAAGCATTGAGAAGCTGTCTTCAAATAGAAAGAGACCACAAAGATTGAAACAAACCAACAGAAGCATTGCAGGAGTCATCCAATCATCGGACCAATCATTTTATCACAAGAAACAACAAAGCATGATTGGATCGATGATTGAAGCGAGTGTGGCCACACTGGACATTTGCATTCACTCTGCCCGTTTTACCGGTCGAATACAGCAGCTCCTTTGTAAAGTTTGACAGGCCTTGGTGAAAGAGCTTCGCGACGAACTTGAGCGGCAGGCTGTTCTGTCGAGCCTTAAACAGATGATGATCAGTCATGACCTCTGTCCACTTCATCAAGGGAACACCAGCAAATGTCGGACGCTATCACCGCAAGGGAGGCGCCTTCAGTTTGCCCCATTGTGCCAGGCGAAGAACAGTCCGG